TTTATTTGTGGCAAAGCTGCCAGAAAAATTGGCCCCTACTGGCTTAGATTTTCAAGGTATTGAAACTCTAGCTAGATTTACTAGGTAATGACCAGCAGTTTTGAATGTACAAATAGATACCTCGAAGCAGGAATGTCATAAATACAGCCCATGTGATGTATCTGGCCCACAGAGCTACTTTACTTGGCCTACCAGGCTACTGCGAGGCAACTGGAGGTTTGGGGGCTTGACCAGGGAGGTGGCCTGCTATAGAATCTGAGGCCCTCGGGCTGTGGTGGACATGGTAATTGGCAGCCAGAGGGTGAGTGAGGGCCCCTGTGGTGGCTTAACTAGGGTGGGATGAATGGGGCAACCACCCTGGGTCCTGACTCAGATGGAGGCTTAAAAAAGGCAGATACTGCTGGCAGTCATGTGATTGTGGCAGCAATGGGAAGTAGCCATTCCCCCTGTGATTCAGGTGCCTGGCTGTGTCCCTATGCTGCTGGGCCTCTGGTCACCCTCTGCCTATTTTGTCTGTCACCACCATTGGGGCCCTACTTATTTGGATGCCAGACCCAGTGCTGCCCCACTGGGGCACAAGGTTAATTTGACACCCTGGAATTAAAGTTCTGAGCATTTACCTCTGAATATCAGTCCTCTTTCAGGTGTCTCAAGTTGGGCAGCCAAAAAACTGAGGCATTCAAAATCACAAGTGAATTTTTGAAAACTTAGGTCCAAATCTCTAAAATAATAAAATCCTCCAAGGATGTTTTATAGGATTCTGCCTTCAGAGAATTAACTATTTTCAGGCCTAAAGCAGGTTGTCTTTCTTCTTACTGAAGTGTATTCAACTCTTATTGGCCAATAGGTTGGTTATAAAATCATGAGTTTGTTTTATGGTTAAGGAGAAGCAGCTCATATTCAGGTGCAGATGTTAAAAATAGCATAAGGAACACAGGACATTATTGGAACAGTTCAGAGCTGTCTGTTAAATGATCATGTTTTAAAGTAGTGAAATAAGAAAAAAATGGATCCAAGCAATGATATTGCCGTGACGGGTAAGCTTCGTGACTAAATCAGTCCTCTAATAATGTTGAGCAATCAGTCTGTACATTAGTACCATATGGATGTTTCCATGAACAGTAAACTACTTCTGTCATCATGCTGTACTTTGAATTGGAACATTTGTTAAAGCCACAGGACATATTTAAAATTTAGTAATAAGGTTCAAGAACGTTAAGGTATTTTAATTAATATGATTGTAATATGCAAATTGTTATGGAGAGGCTAGGGTGGAGAATAGTGAGGAGAGGGAAGAAGGAGGCAGATTGAGAAAAGAGGGAGTAGTGAGTAGCTAACAACTCTGATGCTATTGTCTAGCTTGCTGACAATGAGAGTTTTAGTAGGGGAAGAAAAAGAATGGAAAACACTGAGATACTGTACTAATGGAAGCTAAAGAAAAGGCTAAGATAGGTCCTCACAATTGTACAATGCAATGACGAGTTTTTGTTTGGCTAATATTGGAGGTGGAGAGAGGGAACTGAGGAGAGAAAAAGAGATGGAGGTAGAGGAAGTGTTGAAGACAGGGCAGTATTAATCTTGCTTGTTAAGCTGTGCCACCAGGCAGCAACAGAGCAAGCAACTGTAACCAGATTAATCAGAGGTCTGGGATGCAGCCTGAATTAAATCTTCGTAAAGCTACGGTAAAACAGGAAGGAACAGAGAAATGGTCTGTGAGGTGAATCAGTCCTAGGACAACCAAATATACTTATTTCTGCAGAAAAAAAACTTGTTTCCAAAAGAGTTAGGCAGCTAATAAAACTGAAGTGTAGCAGGAAATTTGAGGAAATACAAGTGAGCCAGGTTGGCTAATGCCACAATGAATATAACCATACATGAATAGGAAGGGAATCAAATGACACAGCCAAGCCTGGAAGGGCCCCAGATGTGTGATTTCCCTGCTTCTTCTAAACATATTTGCTAAACCCAGTGATTCTTTGTGCTTCTTTGGAAAGCCCATGCTTCTCAAAAAACAATCAAAACACAGAACACCTCCCCCTCACCCAAAAAATGGAGTAGCTTAGCACTGATGTGTCTCGTCTCATAGGTAGGTCCAGCTGCAGCATTCAGAAGCAAACCTGCAGGCTTGGTATAAGTGCTTACATAAATATTTAGTAAAAGTGCTTATTCAATAATAAGCTAGTAGAGAGACCAGATTTTGTGGGCAAGTCTGTGGGGTCATTAGTAGAGGTGCATGGGGGATGCCAATAATTTTGGTAACAAGAGTGTGTTAAGTTTCAAATTCCCAACAAAGTCTGTTAATTAATAGCAAGGAGAAAATCTATGAAAAATATTTACGTCTGCTGCCAGGCTTGAAAGGGGCTTCAGGCCAGCAGATAAAGTAAAAAGCCTGTGGGATTGTGGATGTGGCAACTACTAGCCCACTGTACTTATTTTTGATAAAAGGAATCATTCCTCATTGTATGACTTTCTTTTGATTGTTGAGTCTTAGGAAGCTGGAGTTTCAGGGCATAACTGATTGGGTCAATTTCAAGGTAGATTTGATGGAAGTTTAATGTTAATTAAGAACATCTGGTAGCCAAAAAAATATCTAATAACAGTTGTTATTACATACATCTTTTCTTTGCCTGGGAGAAAAGTGATTTCAATCCTCTGATCTTAAAATACTTCATGGCCAAAGATGTTGATGTTCTTGTAACTTTAAATGGAATCAATATATTTGGTTAAATGGCTGATTCTGCCACCAGGGCCTGGGGGGAAGACAGGGACTTTGGAGAATGGGCACCGGAGGCCTGACTGGAGTTTGAAATCAGGGCTACATGATAGGACTGTGCGAAGCTTTGGTCCCTGATTTAATTCGGCCCGATTCGGTGGCCGAATCTCTGAATCTGAATCGAATCAGAAGACCTTTTAATCTCTTCCAAATTGAATTGGAACCCTCCGAATTGATTCAGAAAGATTTGGTGATTCGGACATAGAGACATCTTTAAATGTATTTTATACATACCTTGAGGTACCAGTGCGGCTCGTGAATGCTACAATGCTGGGGTGCATGGAGTGTCCCATAGGAGCATGGGGAGGTCCCCAGTGTGCTTGGCAGCAGACTCGGAAGTTCTTCTGGTCCACTTCTGGGTCTGCTGGGGAGCACATGGGGGGGGTGCCCCCCGGATTGGTGATCGGCCACAGGGGGACCCCAGGTGCCTCCCCAGACCCAGAAGGTACCAGTTGCCAAACCAGGGCGTGTGTGCGGGGGGGGGGCCCAGCATGCTCCCTGGCAGACCTGCAAGTGGACCGGAACTGCTTCTGGTCCACTTCTGAGTCTGTTGCCCAGCGTGCTGGGGACCGCCCCCCCACGCTCCTGTGGGACACTCCATGTGCCCCAGCATTGTAGCATTCACAAGCCATGCATGGTACCTTGATGTATGTAGAAAATGCATTTAAAACTGTGTCTATGTCCGAATCACTGAATCTTTCTGAATCAATTCGGAGGGTTCCAATTTGATTTGGAGAGATTAAAGGGTCTTCTGATTCAATTCGGATTCAGAGATTCGGCCACTGAATCTAGGGCTGCATCATAGGGACTGTATCCACCTTTCAGGTGATTGTGTGGTTTTGGTTTCTAAGGGTGTGTGTAGGGGGCCCTAAATTGAAGCAGTGGGTTTTAAAAAACACTGCTTCAATGTCAGGCTGATTAACCCGCTGTATCATGCACATCCCCCGTTGACTTCCCTGCCTCTCTGGCGGGGAGGGGAGGTCGAGGTGCCGGTGGGCAGACTGGTTTCTGGGCTGCGGGGTGGGGGGGGGATGCTTTCCTCTGCGGTGGCACCCTCCCGCAGGCACCCGGTTTGGGCAGTCCTGGGGGGTACCACAGCCATGGAGGGAAGCACCAGGCCCCTGTGCAGCTCAGGCAGGCAGGTAGGCTTCAGGGTGGGGGGAAAATAAAGATCAGGCTTGCCGTTTTTCTTGGGCAGATCCTGCCTTCCCGGGCTGCTGCCAGGCTGCCTGCAGGGCTTCTTACAGAGCCTCAGAGCTGCATGGAGCCTGGTGCTTTGCTTCATGGCCATAGGGGCAGCAAACTAAAATGTCTCAAAGGAGTTTTAGCTAGCTGCACCCCAAGTCATTTAAGGTTCATTACGCCACCGAATTTCCTACGGCGGCTGGAATTAATGCATAATACACTGCTAAGGCGTGCAAACACCGACACCATTAAAGCAGTGCAAAAGCATTTAGCCTGCTTTAAAGTGTCATGCACACACACCTCTCGTTTCGTCTACACACAGCCTATAACTGGGCAATGGACTTAAAATGATGAATAGAAACTCTTATATCACCAAGTTCTCTCCAAAACAACATTTGCAGACCAGTCCCAGCCCCAAAAAAGTTGTATTAAAAAGATTTGCTACCCTTGACCTGGACCTTGCTGTGCAACTAGTTCCAACAATTCATTTTCCTTCTTGGGGATAAGCTCTGAAAGTTTGGTTTTAAACGTGATGTGATGTAGCAGAAGGGCCGAGAGTTAACGAATATACAGATAAGGGCAGCAGTTAGATGTGTTTCTTGATGTCACATGATTCTGAATACCATCACCTGCTGTCATTTTCAAGAACTTCTTAATTAAAACCAACACTGTCAGATTCAGCTGTTGCATGGAGCCTCTGCATTTTCTCCTCCTCCTTTTGCAACGAGAAGAGTGGTGCAGATGGTGTGGTGCATCCTCATGTATAACACAATACATATTTACTGCTGTGCTGCACCATGCCATGCCATGCCATGCCAAGCTTGTGGCCAGCCTGTGCCAGAGCTAAAGAGTTTAAATCATATTGCCCTTTGGACACTTTATGCTGGCCTGTGGGTTTCCTTTTTGCTTTGTGTTTGCCTCTTCCCTCTAAAGCAGTCTTTTATTAGTTATGTGTGTGTTTGTGTATCTGTGTGTATATATATCTATAAAAATTTCTTTCCTTTTTTTTCCCTTTCCCCCTTTTCTTTCCCATGGATTCTAGGCTGGTCTGATTCGAACGGACAGCAATGAGTTTTTCATTGAGCCCCTGGAGAAGGGGCAGCAGGAGAAGGAAGAGAATGGACGAGCACATGTGATCTACCGCAGATCTGCTATCAAACAAGACAGAGCAGACTCACACAAGGACCTTCATACTGAAGGTAGGACACTATGCATTTGTAAATTACTTCACCCTACATGCACGGGCTTTGCAGCTGCTCTGTGAGAGCTTTAGGTAACCTCTGTGTTTCCTTGCACGCTGTGCTTCATGGAGCCCAGGGACTTCTCTAAATTTGAGCCTGGTTGTCCACTGTCATGCTGTTAGATGAGTTTTGCTCCCTGAGCCTTCCTTTCTTTTTCATGTCCTTGTGTGACAAGGTATTTATTTAGCAGAATTTGCAGATTCATTGGAATCTGACAGGGCCGTGCCATAAGTGCATGGTTTGGCCTTAAGCTTGCGATCTCTGGGCTGTCAGCCACATGCCTTAGTGCCTGTGCCACTGCAGCAGCCTGCCTGCCCTCCCCCCCTCTCCCCCCAGCTCCCTGAACAAATGTAGCGAAAATATCTTAAGATGAATCAGATCTCACAGGGCTGTTCAGACACATGGGTATACTTTGCATTTATCAGTAGGGAAATCAAATGGCAGGTGTTCTGTTTCAGAGAAATACCCAATTTTCTTCTCCCATGTGGGTAAATCTTTAAAACGGCAAAGTCTGCTGTTGCTGTTACATTTATTTAATGTTCTTTTCATCATGAAAAGATGTTTTTTAGTTCAAGCTGTTTTCAGTGTTATAAGTCTGTTACACAGTCTAAAATATAGAGAGGTGGTTAGCCATGTTAGATTAGAGTTAGCTGGCATCTGACAAAGTAGGTTGTCATCTACAAAAGCTCATGCTTCTCTGAACCAATTAGTGTCTAAGGTCCCACCCTGCTTTACCTTCAGTCTAAAATGTAGTGTCTTGTTGCCTTATTGGAAGGTCATTTTTTTAGAAATTAGTATAAATAATAGAAATACTTAACCTCTATATAACATGTTATATCTGTGGGGTTGCTTTCACAACAGGAAGGTGATACAGCAGGAGATGTATTCCAGTTCCTCGGGCAAAACCCACTGGCTGAGTTGACTTACTAGTATTTTTGCTCCCTGTGCAGAATGCAGCCACTCTGCCTACTTGCTCCATTCTGCACTAAAACACCTGGCCAATTAAGACATCATGTAAGAGTAGATCAACACCTCTCGCATAATTGTGTGATGTGTCTGTCACAGCTTGCTCTGTAAAAAAGGAGAGGGGGTAAAAATAGAGAAGGAATTTCTTGAAACACTGAGTGTGGATATGTTATTTTAAAGATGGTAGGGTGGGAGTCAGGGGCTGAGTTGTGGTGTGAGGTTAGCTTTTATCTTTGCTATATTTAATGTTCATGATCAAGTTAAACACGGCCTTACAATTTGGGCCTTTCAGTCTTCATCTCATCTATCTGTCTGAAAACAAACTCCTTGTTGGCAAATACAGAAATTCCTTGTAGACATGCTGTGACCACTTCTTCACCAGAGGAGAGGCATGTTTTATGTAACTTGTCCTTAGGCACAATGAATTTCTCTTAATGCCCACTAGCTTCATTTATATATTTGGGCACAGGAATCAGAGAATCATGTTGCTAATGAGAGGCCTGTTTCATAGTTTGTAGGGTCGGAAGGGACCTGAGCAGATCATCGAGTCCAACCCCCTGTGTAGGGAGATATTTCCTAATCACTCTAATAAATTATTATTCTCTTCAGAGAACTCCTAAAACTCATTTAGGGAGGAGTTCCTCTTCATATTTTTAGCCTTTGATGAGAATTCAATTTGACAAGATCAGGGACAGGACCAATAGCATTCCTGTTTCCTGTGCTATTACTACACTGTCTAGCTTGGTACTTTTCCCACCATGACACTTGCTTTTAATAGAAAGCATACCCCGGTCCTCCATTTATCCTTTCTGATGTTGGCAGTGCCTGCTCTCAGTAACTCCCATGAGGTGGTTCTCCTAGACATGACACCTGAGGGATTTAGCTGGGTTTTTTTCATCCCTTGGTTGTTCTTCTCATCCCCTTATTTCCTACACTTCCATATACATCTTTCGCTTTCCTCTCTATCTCTTTTTAATGCATGTTATGCAGCTTTTAGCACAGTGTGGCCTCACTCTTGAATGCAAACCCTGTGCTTGTGAATACTTGCTGCCATTAGAGACATTTAAGCAGGACAGGTGCTTAAAAGATGTTCAAAGCACTTGGAATTGTTCTATTCCAGTTTGAAAGGTCTTGAAATTTCACTGTAGACATAAAAAGCATGGGCACATGCTGGGGGCTGGGAGTGTGCTTAGCAGTTTTGTGCATGGAAAATGACATTCGGCTGTACACCCAGGGCGGGCAGTAGGCCTGTGCGAGTCGGCAGTGATCTGATCTGGGTTCGGATCCAGCCGCTTCGGATGGCTGTGATCTGATCCAGAGCTCGGGACCAGGTTTCTGCCTCAATCTGGCTGAAGTG